AGGGAAAGGCCAGGTCAAGGTGTAAATAGACTGAGAGCAATTGAATTTCTTTAATGTATAAAGGATTAATTGAAGGATTATATAGGCTCTCTTATATGCGGCCATGGGAGCATGACACATTTTAAACAGTTTAATAACAACTTTTAATTGTAAGTTGTTATTAAAATTTATTTAAATATAAACTAGACATAACAACATCATCCACTTATGTTATTTTTAAAGCATGTTTTAATCGATCTATTTACTTTGATTGCAACATTTGAACTCCTTTTAGTGCTTATTCATTCAGTAATGTTGAAAAGTTTCGAGCAAATGTTTGCCGGGAATGAATTAAATAATCTCATATTCCTTGTTGGCAGTTTTTTTGCTAGATTGTTTTTTTGAAGATTTGATAAAAGATTTGTAGTGTAGTAAGAGCTAAAGGCTCAATTAAGATGTCCCCACTAAACGAGCATGACTTGACTTCAGATGACCTCTTGCTTTTGGCACTCAACAGATCCAGTATTTTGTTTCCCGCTGCATAAGCTATGTCTTGCTGAGGCGAGCAGCAAGCTATGGAGAGTAAAGTTGAGCCTAGCGAGTTTCTTTTTCAATGAAAAGAGGCATTTGTAGCGTACTAGCATATTATCCCTCATATCGATTTTGCAGGGACTTCTAGAAGAGAATTGTATTTTTTAAGAAAATGGATCACTTCGTTCTGATAAGATAAATCATCATATTGAAAAGATGATCAACTGTATGTTTTCTTCAAATTAGAATCAACCAACTTCGAATCAGCTGTTTTTAAAAAAAATTTATAACAGGAGGGAAATGTTTTGCTGAACTTTTTGGCTCTTCTTTAATTTTTCTTACAGTAAGAGGAGTCTCCCATTCTCTGATATAGGGAAATTGCATGCAAGATTTTCTTAGGTTTTAAGCAGCTGTGGTGGAATACACTATCTGCTATTTTATGATAGATGATAAGGCTCTATCTTTTATCCTTCGAGCCCTCTTTTAACAACTCATTTTTCTACAACAGTATTATTTGATTTTGCCTTTGTTGTCACTTATAGTAAAGACTTTGTATTTTGAGATTTGAGCTAGCAGGATGATACAATAAGAAAACCTTTTGTCCAATCTACGAAGAATCAAGGATTCTTCTTTGTATTGAATAGCTCATTTTAACCTGAAAAGTGCTTTACAAAAGAAATTTGTGCATCCGACCATGTTAGAAAAATGGGTAATTTACACGTGTTACAAAGCAAATCTCTTTGCCAAAAAAAAATGTACTCCCCATTTAATATGTACTCCCCATTTAATGGAACTTAGAAAATGAGTTTTGCTTTCTTGTTCTCGTAGTTAGCCAGAAAAGTGGGAATGATTATTCTCTGTATATTATCGTTTGAGTACTTTTATAGTTGGAAGTTTGATGCTCACCTCTATTGTAATTTTTGTTTTGTTCAGCTGAATTGTTTATTTTTTCTTGTTAATTTGATAGGATCAATCCACTTACTAGGAGAGGAGCCTAACATGTGTAATGAGGAGAGAAGAGGCAGCTTGTATTCTCTTGGATATCTAGTTATGAGTTAGCCTCCATTTCTTAGCAAGTTAGTCATGCGGAACAATTGATAACTATTTGCTAGACCACCCTGATTTATTCTTTGTTTACTCATGAAATTAAAGTCCTACGCTTGCTTGGGATATGCTGGAGTAAGAGCAATAGGACATAATTGGCATGGCATAAAAAAGACTTTAATTTCATTTTTCATACGTGTTGCCCTGTATTTGTAATAACTTCTAGTTCTAATCTAAAAGGTCCATCTAATTTTTAAATCACGGGGAAATAACAAACTTATAACTATCCCTTAGAAAATGTGTGTGTGAGAGCGAGGGTGATTTGCGTGTAGAAGCTTGCTTTCTGATTGGTAGTTAGGCATCTCAAAATCTTTGAGGGTCTAACATTGTCGAATTCCTTCAATAATGTAATGCTTATTGATGTTATGACACTCAATAGTGATGTGACATTTTTAAAATTTGAATTAAAGACTTGTTTGAGTTAGAGTTGGGTGAAAGTTCTCTGTGGATCAAGGGAGGATGATTGTGCTTAATCTTAGATTAGTTTGGCATAATGGGCAAAAATCTTAGGTCAAGTTTACATGATTGGCTAATCCAGGCCAAGAAATTAAGGTGTTGGAGAGCCTTCTGAATCATAGCCTCTTGTTTATTTTTGTACGTACAGTGTAGATTTGAGTTGAAAGTGAACTCTTACTCGAAACTGTTTAGCTTCTTGAGTTGGCTTGTTTTTGGCTCGTTCTTGTGTTGGCGAGGTCAGGCCTTCTGGGTATGTAATATTGAAAGGAGTATGATTGGGTCACCGGATCATTATTGAGTTTGAATAGTTTTCTTCTAAGACTGCAAGCTAGTAGGTTAATCAGGGGAGGTTGTTTTTTTTTATCAAAACGAAAGTATTATATTTACCTACTCACATTCTTCAGCTGTATAATTTAATAACAATCTCCAAGTTCTTCGACAGTGCAGCATTGTGTTGATTGATAATGAGCTTTCATCCATTCTTGACTACTTAATACATTTGTCATCTTCATAATAAATATCATTTTGTTTCAAAGATATGCATTGCCTATAATACATGGCACACATCCATTTTTTCCCAACTCATATTTTCCAATTGTATGGCTAGCTAGAGGAGGCTTGATTGTATCGTTCAACACCCTTCGCACTTTTGCTTCGATTGTTGCCATCTAATCGATCTCTCATCTTAGGTAAAAGGGATGGAATTAAGCCTTTTATGGAAGTTTGGAATTCCATCAATGTAGCTGCTAGATACCTAATTCTTCAACTGGGAATTCAGTTACAATAATACATGCAATGGAACTTTAAGGGCTAAATATGATCAATTGGACTCTGAAGTTCGCAATATGCCAAATCACATAAACCAATTGCCATTTCTTTAGTCATCATGGTCTAACTTTTCTTTGACTTCAAAGGGGTTAGGTCTCTTCCTTTTGCCTAATTTTTGTGCTTGCAACTTTTTTCGCTCTTTTTGGATGGAGCGATCTTCCTGACTTTCCTATGTGAACCATTTGAGGTCTCTTTTACAACTTGTTTTGGTAAGGATGTGATGAGTATTAGGGATGAAGATAGAGAAGGAGGGATGACAATTTAGAAACAAAAATTTGTAATTCCTTCTGTTTCAAGTATGAAAAATCAATGGATTCACTGAATCTGAATCAAAATGCAAGAGGAAGTCGGTGTACTGATTGAATCTGAATCAGAATGCATGATGATTATTGCTGCTTGTGCGGTATTTATTTTTTTTCATTTGAATTTTAAACCATAATTAGTTTTTTTAGATTCATTTGAATTTTAACCATAGTCAGTATTTTAGCTTATCAAGTTAAAAATACCATCAACTATAGTATCTGTAACAAGCCTGCTTTCTGGAACCTGGCTAATTCTCCATTGAGGAAAATATGCCATCAATTTCAGAAATTACTGGGATTTAGTCTTGTAAAATAACTGTGAATGGGTGAAAATACATGAATGTATGGGTTCTAGAATTATGCTTCTGCATCAGAAGATTCTGAAAAAAACATTGTTTTCCTCTTAGGATGACATTGGAAACCTCATTAAGGTTAAGATTTTAGATTCTTTATAAGGGTCATGTTGAAATGAGTTGGCTCTTTGTCAGTGTAGATTGATTTCTGAGCGTTAAAATAGAAGGTTTGCGGCACCTAACTGAAGTACTTGTATTGTTGGTCCATATTAAGTCACATCGATGGATTTATTTATCTTGTAACTCATGATTTCACCAATCATGAAATGCCCGAGTGTCATTGTTCGGCTGGTATTGGAGCTGTATTCCGAGATGAATTGGGTCATTGCGTCAAAGCAACGGGGCGTCACTGAGAACATTGGGATAGCGCCCGGGTGGAGCTTGAGGCAGCTCTTTCATTTAAAAGCTGGTTCGAACCTTGGTTGTGTGAGGTTCGTGATATTATTATTGAAGGAGAACAAAAATATGCAAGGATAATAATTACTGTAACAATAATAATCTATTGAATAAATAGGAATTTATACAGCATAATGCAAGGCTAAATTATTGCTCTAAATTATTATGCACATGAAAATGAAATCTACTGATTTGTTTATAATAAATAATAGAATATCAGCAGCAGAACTGACAATCCTAAAATATCTGAAAGCCTAATACAAATATATGTCTATCATCTAATAAATAATAGTTACTTCGAATAGAAGGGATACGAGACGCAATCTATTTGAGATTCAATCGACGATGTCCAATGAAATTTCATTTGATGTGCCTACGACAAAAAATTTAATTAGAACCTAACAATCAAAGAGACGGCACAATTAAGTCTAAGCCCAAGTCTACTCATACTTATAAAACCATCTGTGATATAAGTTCCTCCAAAATTCTCCTTAGCTAACTAGTATCATTATCTTTATAATTTTATTAATTTAGGAGACCTCACCTTTATTGACTTAGGGTCCGTTTGGGGAGCTTATAAGTGCGGGTGGCGTTTTCAAAACGCTGCCGTACCGTTCGGTTCGCGCGTTTCGCCAACTTATCCGAAACTGCATTTGAGTTTTTACACTAAATGCAGACCGCGGGTTGACATCTGCGGCCGGCCCGCAGGCCGCGTTTCAGGATAAGCAATTTATCTTGAAACACACAAGTTGCCTCAAACAGACCCTAAATGATAATTTTTCTTACTGTATCAATGAGCACAGAAATGTCAGCTGCAACTGAGGATGTCTTATAATAACTAAATCTATAATTTTTATCGTCATTAAAAATATATAAAAAAACAATTATGTTAAAACTAATTCTTACTTAAGATTAGCTGTTTATGAAAGCAAGGATGAAACGGGAAGAAGCTCATGATTACAATTGCGTAGCAAAAGAGGGATGACGGCTGGAGCTCATTTTATTATAGCCATCAATTTTCATTGATGTCATGGCTTCAATAATTTCTAAGTTCATTTAATCATCACTCGTTACATAAAAAAATTTTTAAGAGAATATGATTAATTGTATGAGAGGATGACTATGATTTAATATATGCATATATATATTCCGCCGCGTTTCCAGGTTTGTTGGTAGAACATCTGCTTCGGCAATATAAATCCCTTATGGTCTGAGATTCGAATTCCTCCTCTGACAACTGATGTCTTATGGAGGGGGTTCCCGAATATTTAGGCCATGGGTCTTAAAACAAAATTGCTATATTGTTTGAGCAAATTTATTTAAATCGCCATAAAACTCTGATGGAACTCAATCTTAATAATACTTTGATGTTGTAAAATACAATCAAGTTTACATTAGGTGATAGAATATAAAAAGAAAGGATGAGAATTCATTCTTATAAGTGAATACGAACAGACCCGGAACTATGTAAATCAAACCTATTTAAGCAACATTAATCATTTATTAAAATATTTTTAAAGATTTTTTTATTTTTTACATAACTTTATGATACATTGTTTTTAATTCTAAATAATTTAAAAATACCAACTTAAATAAATTTAAGAATTTAATGAATACAACCTAATTTTACTCAAAGGCTTGAAAAACTTGTATACTTTCTAAACTATTATTTATCAAGAACTCAAAACTCCAAACTTTAGTACTCTTAATTAAAAAAAATAAAAATTAATATTTTCTAAATTTTGAATTAATGAATGGTTAAACAAAAGTTTAACAAAAAGCAAGAGGGGCATTTACATACCGCCCAAATCATATGTTCCTAAACTTTAATTTATACATTAAAAATACCTATGTTTTGACTTTTAAATAGTGAAATACACCTTTTCATACACAAGGTGACATGGAAGAATTAAAATTTAGGTATCAGATATGTAATTATATAGAAATTGAGTGCAATGTATGCATCTCTTTCTAAATCTTTATCAACTACGAAAACTAACTAGCATCAACAAAGCTGGAAACCACAAAATCATCATCAACATCATAAAAATCAACAGCCCAACTCATCATCATCATCA